AAATTACTGCATGGGGACGATGGCCGGGCGAGTGATGCTGCTGTGTCGGCAGTCTTTGGGTATGTCCCATTGGACTTTCTATTTGCAAGTAATGTAATTATGGAACTTGTATTACATTTTATTATTTGTAAGACATTCTTAGGACGGAAAATACTGGCTGATTTGAAAAGCTGGTTGCGCAAAATACGCCCGTTTCCCACTTCCCACCCACGCCTAATAGCCTTAGTTGGGAGGGTGGGGTACACCAGACAGGACGCTGTCCTCCCTACCACCCCACTCCTGGCGACCGCCCCGCCCCGCGAACAAAACCCGGCCCCGACGAGCGGCTCTGCCAGCCGCCGGAAGCCGCTCCGTCAGCTGCAGGAAGCGGGCAGTCCCGGCGGCGGCGGCGGCGGCGGCGGCGGCGGCGGCGGCGGCCAATTTCCCCGCCGGCTGGCGAACACGTCCTGGACAACCTCGGGGGGGGGGGGGGGAGAGGGTAGTGGGAGGGGTGCGCAGGATTCGGTGTGATGATGCTTTAGTTGGCTTTCATGTCTTTGCCTGCAGTTAGTTCTTGGGCGTCGGTACCTCAACTCCTATGCGCCGTAAATTCTTGTCCACCCTCCCTTCCGCTCGGGCAGCCATTCGCTGCGCTTAGCCATGGCCCGTCGGATATCTCAGATTCTTTGGTCCTCTCCTGGGCCCGCGATGGTCCTCTGGTCCCCTCTGGTCCGTGACGGCTGGTCCAGTGCCCCAGTCGACCGGGCACGGTCTGCTGCCCCTCGACATGCATCAGTTGGCTCTGGCCAGCGGCCGGCGGTTTAAACTGACCTTGGACGAACAGCACTGACGCCAGAGCCCTGAGACACACTCCGTTTACACGGGCCGGCGATTTCCAAGGTCGTGAGGTGTTGGTGCTGGGTAGTTATCATTGTGGGTGCTTATGGGAAAATGGTGTGATGCTAGGTCAGCTTTGTGCTACTTGGAAGGCTAGGGAGTACTCGAGATACACATATACAATGCCAGCAAGGGGGAAGCTATGACATTGATTTGCTTAACGATGTGTGTTTCATAGCTATCCTCAGAAGCTTTAGCTGGACACATTAATCACTTCAGCCTCTGGCGTAGCGGTGTCGAATCCATTCAGCCGCGTTCTGCTATTTGATCCCATCTTATAAATCATACCATCGTTGGTGGTAGCTATTACGAAGACCTCCAATCAACCACGCCGACATTCTACGTCCATTTATCTACAGACATACACTTCTGACGCATTCCGTTCTGACATCAAATCAAAACGTCCGGACCAGTTACCAGTTTCATCCTTTGTTTGGGCTCTACCCTGGACGCCGGGCTCCTTAGCTCGGTGAAGTCTGTTCATCTAACAACCGAGAGACGAGAAGCTCGGCTCCAAGCTATGACACGAGCAGCCCCACACGGCGCTGCCTTCGGTAGCTCCTCCACGCTCATTTGCGCGCGTCGTCCGCCTGTAGATTGACGCCAAATCCGGCCTTCAGAAGTGACGTGTATCAGGGTGGTCTGTCGTAACTCGGGCTCCTGATGTCCGCATTGACGGAATGGGACGACCGAACTGACTGCTGCATCCTCGGTGAGATGATCTCGTAATTAACAGTTGATCTCTCGCCGTGGGACCGGGAGTGCTCTCAGCAGGGGCGGGAGGGAGGTGATGGGGACCCTGTCTCGGTAAAGGTCGGTAGCTCGCGGGTGGGCTGGTCGCATAGTCACCGCCCTTGATTTTGGTAGGTGGGGCTTACTTGTACGCATTACCCACATTTTTTGTTCGGTTCCTCATGTTAATAAGAGGTGACAACTACCAGAAAGCTCTTACAGTTTTGGGAAGGCTTTCTTATAGCGTTTCATGTTTGTTATTGAAGTTCGCGGATAATTACACCCAATGAGGCTGGTGAGATCAAGTCTGTTTGGCATCAAATCCTCAGTCCTCGGTCAGTCAATCTCGTCTGCCGGGTAGCTCAGCCACCAGTGCGGGCGGGGGCGGGGGCGGGGGCGGACCTACAGACGCTCGCCCGCCGCGAGAGCCAAATTGTGTGTCCGCCGTCCCGCGCCGTGCGTAACAACTATCCCCTTATCGGGAGTACCCTGATAATTGACAGCACCGCTGGACATCACTGACCTCCAGGAGGGAGTTTACACTGAGGTGGCCAGCTTCCAGGGATGGCTGTTTTGGGGTGAAACAAACACCTACGAGCGTTCTGTAGAGCACGACTCTTGGAGATTTCTCAGAGATTCGCAGTTATTGGTTAGGCATTTATTGAATGTACTGGCATTGTTGCAATTCAGATATTAAACAAACAAACATACGTTTATGTAAAGTTATGTTTAAATTATGTGAAAAAGTGCATTTCACGCAATGCATCTGAGCCAGCGCCTTTATGTAAAGCTGTTCGCAGAAGCCAGATTCTTACATCTTTGACAGATTACTAAAGTAGTGTTCACGTAAAGTGAATTTACACTTTCTCCATGTGTGATTCCTAGTAGTTTGGCTGATCACTGGGCGATAGGAGCAGAGCGGTGGCGTTCGACTGTTCAGCTATCGAACGTCTCACAAATTCAGAGAACCACGAGCCACTCTTATGACATAATAATCGACCCCCGATCAGGAAATTATCGGGGAAGCCGACCAGAGTTTTAGCGCCTGACAGTTGGGCTTGCGGCCGGCAGCCCAGCGCTTTATTGGGGGAAAACTAGCGGTTTTACAATCGATGAACCTGAGATTTAATAGCACATCATTGTCCGTTCCGTTAGGATGATTTTCTGGTAGATCTTCTTCTGGATTTTGTGGCTATTTAACCTTTGTAATTTTCCATTGTTTTCTGTTGTACATCGATGCTACAATAGTCATCATGTGATCGCTAGGGAAAATTGGACGTACAATTTCTGCCATTGTAGTATTTTCTTTTTGTCAGACATATGTTTTCTGCTGAGTGCTGCTGGATACCAGTTTACTGATTACAAGATTCTGGCGATGCAAGCTCAACTCTGCTATGTCCTTCATCTATAAAATAGTAAACAGCCCTGGCGTTCTGCTTGCCAGAAATCCTAAGCAGCTATAACACACGTTATATCCCGCGAGTTGCTGGGGGGGGGGGCGTTAAACGCCCCCACTTTTTTCGCCGGGCCATAGCATAAAAACGGCGCGCCGCAGGCGCGCCAAATTTTGGGTACCTGTAGGGAATTGATTGAAGTTTATTGTGACAAAGTTTCAAAAAGATCGGCCGGAAAATTTTTGAGATATCGAGGTTTTAGTGACGTCATGATTTCTGAGTTTTCGACCAAAAACAGCATATGTTCAAAAAATCATATAAAATCACAGAATAGACATATAGACATGCCGTAAACGCCATTAGACTGCCAATACCATGGATAATCAAATGGCTATCTTCGATTATTGATTATCGTTCCGCATTTTCCAAAATCTTGAACTGAATCTTGGCAATTTCTCGTGACTACTTCACGACCATGATACATGAATTTCTTAAATTGAACTTTTTTAGCCAAACACGTACACATATGATAAAATGAATGTCACCATCGTGTTCTACGCCCCAAATTACCCATAAAACATGTGTCACAGGCTGCGAATATCAGTTTTTATTTTCGGGGATATGTGCCTGCCCGGTTGACCTGACCTTGACCCTGACCTATGCTTGACTGACCCCTGCATGGAGCTGACACTCTTGTAGGCCTTATATGATGGATTGTGCACCGTTTTGACAGAGTTTATGACGAGAGGCGCCCATTGCGAAGTCCTGAAGTCCATGCTACTGAAAGCCCGATTTCAGGTGTTTGACCTGACCTTGACCTGACCTGTGACCTCAAAATTCAACTTTAAAGTACTCATCTGAAGCGTCTCGTCGCGTTCTTTCGTTTGCCGCCTCGTGCGTTTCGCTGCGCCTATTGGTTCTCGAGTTATCGGCTGGGGGCGTTTAACGCCCCCCCCCCAGCAAACGGTGGGTGGCGAAATACCCCAGCAACTGCCGGGATATATTCGCGTTGTAGCTGGCGTTAGCGTTACACGCCCGCCGCGCGCGGACCGTCGGCTGTCCTCGTTCAGTCCCCGGCTGCGTTCCCGCGCCATCGGTCGTGTGAGTTTTCCGATCGAACCTCGCCTCAGGCTCGGCGGACGCGGCGAAATCGGCGCCTTTCAGTGTCCCAGGACTATCGTTAGGGCGGTGGTGTCTCATTGGACGGGGACGTGAGCCCGGCTTCGTACAGATTTCAGTCGAAATCACAGACTGGTCCTCCTGTAAAAGTCGTGTTCTTGTAAGAATGACTATGCTTAAACACGTACCCACTCTTTTCATAATTTATTTCATGTGGTTTTATTTAATCGGTGATCATGAATATTACATTTCATCATTTTTAATACCTCTTTGATGTCCAATTTACTTTGTTGCCGCTGCGTTTTGTCTCATTTTGCCGTCTCACATTCATCCAATCACGTGCGCCATCTGTCTCTGCCACCTCCCATCCAGCGTTCGACGCCGAGTCAAATCATGACAGTCACATGTCTCATTAAAGCTGACAATGCCCAGCAGCCTTCCAGCCGGAGTCTATCGCTAGACGCTCATCCAAACAACGCCAGTCGCCTGTTCAAAGTCCGCTCCCAAAGTGGCCTACAAACAGCTGCTTCGCTAGACTTCCTTTGTCAATAATGGGTATTCAGTGATTAAAAACGAATCCATACCACCGCTCGTGTTTCCAAAGTTTGCGTTTCCAGCAATCAGCCGAAATATGACAAGCTCGTGAGGACGTGCCTGGCCGTCCCCTGTGAGCGGATACTGTTGATCCACGACTGTGTTCACACAATTCTCAGTGATCGCCATACGCCTGCTCGCTGGCTTCCGGCGAATGTTCGCATCCGGTGGCGGCGGACAGTATAATGGTAGCAGCGATCGGCCGCCGCCGCCGCCGCCGCCGCGGGCAGCGGTCCTCCGGAGGCGGCGGCGGCGGCGGCGGCGGCGGCGGCGGCGGCCGGGCACAGTCTGCTGGCTGCCGGGAGTGCGTGCGGAGCGCAGGAGCTGTGCTCTCGACTGGAGGAGATTTGGGAGTGAGGACTGGACTAGAGAGGACTGTGGTAGTTTTGAGGAGAGCCGCTGGGTGGTCGGTGAAGGTTGCTTACCGCAGCGTTTAATTGATTTGCCGCTGGTGATTTGCCAAGGCCGCAACTGGAAACTGTTCGACTTCCGTCTTCGTCTACTGAAGAAGTGGCATTCTGAACTCTAGTGCTGTGGAACAGGAGCTCACTGAAGAATTTATCTGGCTCTCGCAGCCACATCCTCCGAGCTGGCTCCTCAAACGACCACCGCCCTAACCACCGAGATGGCTTTTGCCAATACCGGGGAGGACGCCATCGCTCCGTCTCCCCCCGGCCGACGGCGGCGCACCAGGAGCTCCCAGCGACGCGCTAAACCCGCACCGCAGCCCATCGAAATCCTGGACGCCGCCACCGGAGAGATGATCACCGAATCTGCCGAACAGACAGACGACCAGAACGTCGCGTGTGCCGGTGAGTGTCCGAGCGAATCCGCCGGCCGGCCGGAGATAAGCGATTAGACGCACACTTAGTGTCGGCGGCACCGCTTAGCCCCGGTCAGTAGCGTGCAGACGACATGAGAGGTCGTTTGGGTGCCGGTTAGTGGGCCCGGTGATTTAGGTGATGGCAGACGTGTGCCCATAATTGCAGTCGGAAACTTATTAGAATGGGTGCTGTTTCTAAAGAGCTCTTCAAAATTGCTACTGCCTTGCATACTGCTGCGGGAAAACGAACAACTTGGTAATATTTTTTTACAGAGGCAACTTTTAGTTGTTTGACTTCTTCGTAAGGATAATATTCGGGCCCTCCTCTCATTCTATTCCTCTTCTCTTCCTGCTCCCGTCAGCCGCGGGCGTTCTGATAAGTAGTGCCGTCGGAGAGGCCAGAGACCGGGGGCGGTCAGGCAGAGGGCGGGGGCGGCTGGGCAGAGGGCGGGGTGGTCAGGACTGACAGCCTGAGCCGACCCGGCTTCTGACGTGTACGGAGCGCCACGGGCCCCGTTCGATCAGCTCACACTGAAGGGAGGAGTGACCAGGGTGTGATTTGACTGTCAAACACTTACGGGATTATTATGACCGGAGCGAACAAAAACATCGGGATAACTGTTGGCTGTTTTTTTTTCTTAAGTTGCCTCCAGTAACATAACACAAGATTAATATTAATATTGGCTGCTGGTTTATTTCTCCCTGGCGTTATGAAAAGTTCAAGATTTCCAATGCGAGTCGCCAGTTCCCAGTGCCACATGTTCGCTACCAGAAGCATCCCGCCTCATTTGTAATAGCATCACCCCGATATTTGTCCATGCGGCGCTCCGCCGACTCTGTGATGAGAGGTCGTTCAGGGGCGTCTGACCAGGCGGGGGGGCGGGGAGGGGAGGGGAGGGGGATGGTATGCCCCGAACTGCACCTGTCGTCTACTGCTGCCTAGCAGCCGAGAGCGGACCGATTTAAAAAGGTCGGCCGCTGCTTCTGAGGAGGCTGGCCGCCGCTGAATGGATAATGGCACGATGAGTTTGCTCGAGAGAATCGCCTGCAAGGTGACGGATGACTTCTGGTTAGCAAAGGAGTTTGGTTTGCTTCTGGTTAGTACAGAAGTTTAGTTTGTTCTTGCCTGGACTAGGGTTTGCGCCGTGGTGAATTGTGACCTTGTACAACGTCCATGCACGTGAGGCATTACCTGACTCAGTCAGTGAAAATGTAAATAAGTGGCTGGGGTTCTCTCACGTCCTTGGTCCCCTGGTTTTACTGAGGCATTGCGTTTTATTCTGTTCCGTGTTGGCCTATTACTCAGCGTTGAAGTCTCCGCTCCAAGCGGTATCGTTTCCCGAAGCTAAGGCGACGCTGCTTGTCGCCCTGGTTATCGTGCTGTTTTGAATTGCAGTCTCCCTACTCAGTGGTGTTATCTTTCTGTTCTCGACTTGTCAGTTGAAGTCTCCGGGTTATTTTCCCTTCGCTTTATTGCAGTCTCTGGAGCTGCATTAGTCACGTGACGGTCTTATGGGCTCCACTTGTGGTCACGTGACGATCATTTGAGAAAACTGGTCTTGACCACGTGAAGGTTATGCCACGGCTCTCCTGGTCACGTGACGGTTTATATTGATCTCCCCTTCCAGTCACATGACTGTCATGTGACATTCTCCGCGCTGCGGCCCCCGACTGTCCGCGGTAATGAAGCCTTTCACAGCAGCGGGCAGTGGCAGTGATGGGGCGGGTTTGGTCAGCGTGGCTGGCCCGGCGGTGGCACTCTGCTGCCGGCAGCGGCATCGGTGACTGGGTGCAATGGCCCGGGGTGACGGGGTTGGTTGTGACAAAGTCATCGTGGCTAGGGCTAGGTGCATATTTATTGACATGGAGATATTGGATGCGTATTCTAACCCGAATATATCACCCCCAGTTTCAAATGCCCCTCGATCCAAGCATGCCGATTCCCTACTCCAAGATTCCAACCCTGTTCCCACCCCTCCCTTCCCTCCAACCCATTCCCTTCCATCCGAGCTGCCCGCGAAATCCGCACCAATGTCCGCTATCCATCGTGTTCTAGACAGGCTGTCTGTGCCGTCTAGTGGGTCCTTCCCAGACACCAGTCACTGTCTGGGGTGTCTCCCCCTCGCCTCCCCCCACCCTCCTGTCAGGACGACTGTCCGCCACTGAGTCTGTGAGCGACGCTTAGGGCCACTGCCGAGGAAGGGACGCAATGTGAGTTGTAGAGCCCGCTCTGTTGATTGGTAGGGTGCCAGTTTTGATCTATCTGGTATTCTACCAACTCCGAATAGAATGTAGGAAAAATTAATTGAACGTTTATCATACATTATGTGGCATAAAACATGAAAATGTTTCAACTTTTGTAGAAATCGCAATCGATGCGTTCAAGCTATCTTCCATCCTTTGTATTACTTTTTCTTCAAAACTTTCCTGACTTTAAAATATTGTAATAACGTTGCGTCGGCCCGGCCCCTCTCCGCTGCGCCGGCCGTCCATTGTCACGAGACGCCTGAGGCGCCGTGATGTGACCCAGCGACAGCCAATCACAGGCCACCCGGCCACCGCCCCGGGCGGGCCGGAGGACCCATCACGTGACCTGGCCACAGCCAATCAGCGGCCGAGCGACGAGCCAGCGGGCGGCAGAGGCGAGTTGGACGGCTGCCAAGTGCCAACCGAGGCGCCCAAAAAATTAACTTGCATGTATGATAATTCACATGATTTTTCATTGCAACGGAGACACCATGTGCTTCAGTTTTTATCTCAAATTGTATCCAGCTTTTAAAATAAGGTTGAAGTACGGTTCAAATACCTTTCAATCACGTTGATCAATTCTTCTAAGTCTGATTTGCTTCGTCATTTGTATGCAAAATTTTATCGTCGCTGCCTCTTTGACGGTGAGACTTTCAGCAACATCTCGTGCTAAATCAGCAATTACTGCTCTCTCTACTTTCCCCTTTAATCGGTGTCATCATGTCTGATCAGCTAAGATTGCTGGTTGATTATCATGGTGCAGGCGTTTTATGGTGATTTTATATCTTTTGTATCCTCTCTAGAGCTTATCGCGACTCCGTTAGGCTGCTTGATGCCTTGTCGGGGATGTAAATATTCGGATATATCCATGCCTACTGCCTAGTGCATTGTGTTTGTCAAGTTGTAATGGAATTGGTCGCCTCCTAACGCTGAATTGTAACGTATTTCTTGAAATGTAATGCACATTATTTTGTGGAACAGGAATATTAGATATGTGTGTACGAGTGCAACTTCTTTTTTTCTGATTGGCACTAAATTGCTACATTTTTTCATGTTATTTTATTTAAAACATTTCAATCTTGGGTGATATTGTTTTCCCTGGTCTAATGTGTAATCCTTAGCAACAGCACTTCCTAGACCTCTTCCTCTTTTCTCTCAACACCCCCTCCTAACACCTCCCCCTCAGCCTCCCTCTCTCTCTCTCTCTCTCTCTCTCTCTCTCTCTCTCTCTCTCTCTCTCAATCCCTCTCTCTCCCCTCTCTCTCTCTGTCTCTCTCTCTCTCTCGCTCTCTCTCTCTCGCTCTCTCTCTCTCTCCCCTCTCTCTCTCTCTCCACCGATCGCTCTCTCTCTCTCTCTCTCTCTCTCTCTCTCTCTCTCTCTCTCTCTCTCTCTCTCTCTCTCTCTCTCTCTCTCTCTCTCTCTCTCTCTCCACCGATCGCTCTGTCGCCGGTCGTCGCTACCGGCGGCCGTCCTTAGTGGCCGGCCTCGGCGGCCGCTACACCGGCGACGTTACAGCGACAGATGGTGTGATGGCCACCGGCGGACGTCGCCCTCACAGCCGGCGTGACGTCATCATGTGACGTCATATGTTAGGCAGGGCCGTGGAGTGGTCGGTAGAGGGGCTGGGTGGTAGCTAGGGGTAGCTAGATATGGAGCTAATAAGAGGTTTGTGTAGTTTCAGGGAAAACGAAATTATTGGATCACCTTTATATTGTTAGTTGATATTTGAATTAATTAATATGACAGTATGATGTTGAGTTAAATGAGATAAAATGTGGCAAAAAATATGACCAAATGGCTAAGCAATAAGAATACTGTGTTGAGTTTCCTCGATTAGCTTCAACTGTTTGTTTACATTGATTTAATTACATCATGCCAATTCGGTTTTTCTTTGAGCTGGTTAATCTATCCCTAATCGTCAGACACATGATGCACGTCCCATACAGAGAATAGCAATGCGGCGCCGATAATGCGCCTTGGACATCAGTTTTCCTTTCATTAATCACCTCTGATGGCGTCACTCGAGAGGTAGGTATACCCTATTGGTGGATCGTTTTATTCTGGTCGCCAATCTCGAAGGTCACACCAGGTCAGGGGCATCCACTACAGTGCAGTTACCATACACTGCCAATGAGACAAGATCATCGACCTCTGAAGCTATGCAGCGAAACATTGAAACCACCTCACAGGACATTTACATTGGTGCACGTGATCAAGCTGGTGTGGGACCACCCAGAGCATTTACCCGGCACTTAGGCTGCCTTTCATGAATGCATTTTCAGTCTGATCACTGCAGTCATTGCATCAGCAACTGATGGCTGTTATTGTTAATTGCAGTTCGGCCATCGGCCAGCAGAATACTATATCAGCAGTGCATTGGCCGATTAGTTGGGATAATTTGCGCCCTTGGAAGATGTATGCCAGCGCGGGGCTTGTTCAGAGAGAGCTACTGGGTCGGGGGCAGGGTCAAACGGAGTAGTGGGATGGGCGCTCTGATGCACAGCTCAGTATACAACTACTGCATTATTCGAACTGTACTTCTAACCATTTATTTGATTCATCTCTGCCTTAAACCACAACATGAGTTTGCTTTTTAGGCTATATTTTTAATGGTCGCTTCCTCTAAGCATGCTTTTTAGAAATCTCATATTCTTTATTTTTGGAGCCTGTATCTTGCAACAATAGTAATTAGGAAAATCGTTTTTTTTTCGGTTCGACAGGATGCTGAATTAAGTCGCTAG